GGTTACATGTTGCTGCAAGGGCTGCGGTTCTCACACAAATCGAGCGGCGCGGGCACTGAGAACAACACAACTGTGTGTGTTTGTCATGACGTGAAGTACTCCTTGGCCCATTAACTGCTCTCCATTGACGCCTCACCCTAAAGGAAGCGTTTGGCTTAATTATTATTACTAGCATATTCAGTAGGTATAATATTGCAAAGAAGTTAGAATTTTAAATAATTTGATAGAGCAATAATTGAATTATTACTTTTCTTAAATTTCATAACATCCTGGTTTTACTAATATTTAATTACATTTTCGTCATAATACTGTTCTTGGTCATAGCAAAATAGTACCATTTTCTTCTAAATACGTGTTTGCAGTTTTTTTTTTGAAAACGTAAATAAAGGTTTATCTTAATCTATCTATAACAATATCAGCAATAAAGGTTTATCTTAAGCTATGTATATCTAAACAGACTGCTTGTTACACGATAAGCTTATACTTTAAAATTAATATTTTCCCTTTATCATTAATACAATAAAACAGTTCGATATAACATTAATTATTCCTTGTTGCTGCAAATTTGAAGCTTATCGATTTTTAACGATATAATTGTTCTATTGTCTGTTTTCACGATGGCGTTGAAACAATATAATCTAAGTAAAGCCGTGTGAGTACCAGTTTTACTTTTTAAACTATTACTTGGTATTGGCAACTGGTATGGTTTAAAACTGTATCGTAAAATATGTCGTCCGATTGCCCTTATTTCTTCTAAATAAATGTAATATATTTAACAATTGTTTAGACTGTTTACTTAAAATTCATTTTGCTGCTTTGATCGCAAAGTATTTTGTTCATGCTTAACTCTGTTTCGTTTAGCAAAATATGTGCCAAAATATTTTATATATTTGAAGTGATAACTTTAGCGTCGCTGTGATTTGAAACTCAATGACACGAAAAAGTGACGCTGAAAACAGACAAATATATAAATCTATAGGATAGGATTCCGAGAGAATGAGATACAATATATACTTAATACGAGTATAATAAAGCGGAAGAGGTTTTTTGTTAATTTAAACACGCTAATCTCTGGAACTACAGAATTTTTTTAGCGGAGCCTATGAGGTGCTAGCCTATATATTTAATCCGCCTCTGCATCTAGTGTCCATTTTACGGACAACCTTGAGAGTCGATCAGTTTTTGTTCGATAATATGATTGTCACCCCTAGAAGTCACATTACTTTTCTCTTGAACACTGCTTCCATGCTCAACATGTACTCACGTGTAGAGCTGCATTTAGGAGGGCTTGTGTTCGATGTTGTTAAGTTTAAAAAACCTGAGTACTTGCATGCAAAGATAAAGTTTGCAAAGAAAAAATCTGGAAAACAATTGAGGTCCTATAAGGTTAGCAGTCCTGTGTCGCAGTCATGAAACAGCGGCATTTACTGGCAGCTTCCGATATATGGCAACGAAGTGTTGGAATAACATCCCACCACTAAGAACAAATCTTAACACTAATTACAATTTTAAAAATAAATTTAAAACATATGTTCTAGATAAACAAAAACAAGGTATTCCCAAATACTTCGTTTGTCAGCTATAAACCATGGCATTTTCATTCTACTAACTCATCATGGATGTCTAAGCCTTTTAGATACTGGCTTTAACTTGTATGCAATTTGTCACACTTACGCACCCTTTCAGTAATTTTAATAAATTGAACCCAAGATACAAGTCGCAGATCGTCGTCAGTGCAATGCGTGCAGTGCAAGTCGTAACTATCGGACAGGACACTTAATTCATACATATTTACACTGATGATACTATTGTGCTCATTTTCGTCTCGTCATCTTGAGGGTAATAGCTGAAAACCAGTGTTTGCTCTCTGAGCATTATTAATCGCTGAGCTAGGACCCATTTTTAAACTGCAACACACATATACATTTAGATCTTAAGAAATTGTAACTTTTTTTTGTAATACGTTACTTTGTATCTGGTTTAGTAACGGAATTTAAGTGTGTGATTGGAGAAACAAATAAGTGCTTTATCTATCTATAATTTTATTTTTAGAATTAGCCATCGCTTTTACAATAAAAAATTGAGTCGAAAGAAAATATTCCTTTGTTTTAATACACTAAAATTTAGGCTCTACATGTCTAAAAATAAGAATTGTAACATTTATTTGCTATAAAATTAAACCTTCATCTTATATTATATGTGTGGCATATATATTGTGGTTGAAAATTATCAAATTAAATAAATCATTTGCCGTGAAATATATTTATTTCATATTTCATTTCAATTGAAGGTTTCACTTCTACCGCATGTGAACTGCACGCACATTGTTTTTTTTTTAATTTCGACTAGCTTTTTTAAAGGTTTTAGTCTGCAAGGCCACAGAATAAATAATTAGCAAGGCTTCAGTGCCCACCCACGCACCGTCCGGGGACGATGCGTGGGTGGGCACTGAAGCCTTGCAGAAAAGAAGCCTTTAAAAATGTATTTAATTTGAGAACCGATATAGCAATATATTTTTTTATCAACCATTAACTTGATCAAACATCAAAAAAATAATACAAATTTCATAAAAAGTCTGTATAAAATTAAATCTTTATTATGTAATAATTTGAATACCCATCTCATGACACACCTAGAATAGAATGACCTCAATAACCGCCAGTACGAGTTTTGCCGAAATTAATCAGCTGGGAACCTGCGTTAGCATGCCACGCACATATGGAGCGAGGCACTCGAGAACAGTTTGCAGCATTTGCTGTTTCCCTTGATGTCTCGAAAGCTTTTGACAGGGTTTGGCAAGCTACCCTTTTTATCAAGTTTCTAACGTAGAGCGTATGGCCTAATTAACCGGGTGAAGGACTTTCTGAGTGAACGGTCTCTCTGAGTCGTCGTCGATGACTGCTCATCATGACTAACGCCGACCCGTTTCTCATGGGGTCCGTTCTCTCCGCAACACTCTTCCTGCTGCATATCAATGATTCGTTTGTGGCCGATATTTATGAGTATACAAACGATGGCACAATTGTGGAGAGATATCAACCGAGTGCTCGGGCCAGTCGGGATCAAATTCAATTCGAAAGAGAAACTATGGTTGGGCGTGTGAATCGCTACACACAGTCACACTACAGACACTTTATAAGTGGTAGAGCTATGCAGCATCTATATTATGGTAGTAGCACGAATGGGTCGACTCGACCGGGGAAGGACCACGCTTTCACAGAATACCAGCGTAAATTAGCAGCTTAACGCTGCTGTGTTTCGTATGGTGAGTGTAGAGAACCGGAGACCCTTTTTACTGGAAACGAGGCATTCCATCTTAGTCCTCACGGGTGACAACGCATCTGAATTTTGACTCTTAATCGAAGATAGATGTAGATGTCTATAGGCCACAGCGACCACTTACCATCAGGTGGACTGTGTGCTCGTTTGTCACCCTTATCCTATAAAAAAAAAGACAGTCTCCGAATAGGGCGATGCCAACCTTGTAAAATTCAACGGCTCTAAAACACAAGCGTCTCCGTTGCAAAAAAGAACCAGCTCATCTTGGTTCCTTATTTCCGAAATGTATCACTGCAATACACCGACTACTTTGAGTTGAGATTTCCTCATAATGGTTAAAACGAATCTCACCAGTCTCGAACACAGGCGCAAAGTAGCTAAAAGTTCTTAGATTTTCGGATTTCTACAGGATACATTTCGGAGAGTGTATGTACGCAGGGATTGCATAACTTAATTCCTCCCTCTCCCTTCTACCGTCGGACAATCAGACGCTCGACCAGTCTTTTACCCTTACTTTGTCGACTTACTATTAATTAGAACCAAACGTGTTGCTTCATCGTTCGTCGTGCGTGGAGCAAAAGACTGAGATATGTTGCCAGCATTTGTGTTTCCTAGAATAGTAAAAAAAGTAAAGATTACATAGTATGTAATACACACTGTTACACCATTAAGTTTATACGAGTGTGATGAGATAACTTCAATAAACTTAGATAATTAAATATTGTTTGCAATACTTGCGCATTATTTTATTAAATCGATTCAATTTAATTGAAAATGAGTGTAAAATAATCATACTACTCTTAGGTATACCGTTAAAACAATAACTCAATAATGTAGATTACATTGCTAATTATGGCATTCAATGTATAATTGTCAGTCAACAACCTTACTATTTATTACGTTTTATGTTTTCTTAGTATTGATAGGCGAGATAATAAAATATTGTGAATCGTGAGGAGACATATGATTCACACGGGCATTTTTAAATCACAATGAACTTATCAACGGGACGTTCGGTTTTTAAATATTAAAATAATACTGGCATGTATGTTAAAATCATGTAGTGGCGGTGTAAGAATATCCACTATCCCATATCATCCCGTGGGTGTCGTAAGAGGCGACAGCGGGAAATTAAAACAGAAGATGGACAGCATCTTTGTGATGATAACGATTCTAAATAATAAAAAGCTGCTGTTGCCAAACTGCCTGCCAAGCGTGGCAACTATGGCAAAGTCCACCCTATGAAACAATCTATGGGAGAGGCCTATATTTAGCTCTTCAGCAGTGGACTTTTATACACTGTAATGAATGAATGAATGTAAGTTAAAATCAGTAGCACAGAGCATCATAACGTGGCGTCAGTAAAGTACTAAAAGTTACAGCATATCTATGTGCTGCTGGCTACATTTTTTTAATTTATGAAGGTTAAGACGCAGTTAGTGCAATTTTTATCCTCAAACATACAAATTTATTTAAGATGTTTTTCTTCGATGTCAAGCAGGTGGTAAATCAGCACCTAAAATTGCAACTAAGAATTTTATAGGTGCCAACGAGAATCGAATTTGATTGCGTGTTATGAAATTTACGGCTTGCGTATTGTCCCCGAACTACCACTGCTTAACACTTTATATTTATATTAGAACAAATATAAAAAAGGAACAATGTGCACCCAGTTATGTGTATACAGAATTTATGAATTTATTTTAAAACTTTGTTTACAGGCCAACTCGAAGATATATCTAATAAGGCGAATCAACGATGAATGGCTATGCGGGAGGTTAAGAAACGGCGTTCAGGGTCTTTTTCCAGCCAATTACGTAGAGATCAAGGTGCCCCTGCCCAATGAGACTGTACTGAAGTCTAACTTCGGAGTCGCCACTGCGATATACGGCTTTGAACCTGTACAACCTGGAGACTTAAGGTTTAGCGCAGGCGATACCATCGACGTCATGCATAAGTTGAACGATGAATGGTACTTCGGAGAGTGTAAAGGTCTGAAAGGGCAGTTTCCTGCGAATTATGTGCAAATGAGTTGAATAAGGCATAACATGATCATTCAAAGCGTAGGTTTTGGTGTAGTTTTTGAGGATAAATTATTTTATCAAATTTCAGGTTACATTAGTGATGCAAACCTATATAGAGCTAATACTTTAGTTATATCTTTATTTATTTCTGTGCTATATCAATTGTCTATTGCATGAGTGAAAACATGCCTTAAATCATCATGAACACCGTTTTTCTTTTATTAAAAGAAATCAGGAGATTTACATCTAAAACTTTACTCTCGCCTTCTGTTCATAGTATTTATTTTCGTACCATGAAAACAACGTGTGATATTTATGTGATAATATTGAATTGATATTGGCATCATACAACATTTTTATATCGGCTTAGTAGTTGTATGGATTCTTAACAAGATACCAATGTGTTATGTAATTATATGCAATAACGTAAATCTGATGAACTATACATTTACAACTTGTTGAAAAATGTTTCCTTCAAATTTATAAAAAAAAAAAAATTATAATAACAACAGTATTCATGTAAATTGAAGGGAATTTTATTATACTGCCTTATAGTTTGACTTATACACGCGGCAATTTGTTTAAAATTATGTCTCTTGATGTAAACATTGTCTGAACTATAAAAATGTCAATACAAGTTCAAAACGTTTCAAAACATGTGCGACTTGTTTCACCGTTTTAAATGATTATAAGTTAAAGGAAAAGCGTTATAACTTGTTACAACAGCCGTATAGGGCCGATATTTAAGTATCAATGTTTTAATTAAGGTTCTTGATTATTTATTGTTTTTATAATTTTCCAAATTACATAAACGACTTACTTAACATTTATAAAAATTGTAAATGAAAATGCTGTAAAATCTAAAAAATTTACTTGCGTTTCAGTAAAAGAAATCGATATTTATATTTATACATTTCCGTCATCTATTGTCTACACATATTCCGTGGCCTATCTAACTCTGTCTAACTCTATCTTCCTTATAAATGTGTTCGAAAACTCTTTACATACTGATATTACAACCTTTTGAAAATGTAAAAATGTAGGTATTTCCTATTAAAATAATATTTTAACAAGTTGCAATACGCAATACATATAGGAAGTAAACCTTTAGCCTTATATTGTGATACGCGACGTATAAAAATAATAAGAGACTGATAACTGTCGTGCATATCGGACCTAGGGTTGCCAACTTTTTGATTTCCAATATGGTATTTTCAAAACTGTTACCTATATAAATATAGCAAAAAAAAAATATTGTGCGTTTCAATGAATGGTGTGACGACCTGGTGCAGGAAGTCGATGGATGCAGGTGGCACATAACCGTATTTTGGTGGCATCCTTAAAGAGGGTCTATTTACAGCAGTGGACTTTTGAAGAGCTGTAATGATGAGGATAATGACACAGTTTAAAGAGCTAACAGTTGTGAAAACTTTTGTTGTTAGGTGACGCCGCGAGCGGCGTATATGCTAGGGGTTGTAACGAAATTGGGAATAAAAATAATTTTGGATATTATAATATTCATTATCATTTATTAAACAAAATCATTTTTATTACTACAAGAAAAAATACATTTACAAGTGTTGCACTGCCAAAATGTTTTTGGAACACTTTCCTTTTATAGATATTTTCAGTTTTCGATTGTTAAATTTAATTATGTATTGTATTCGCATTTGGATAAACAATTTTATAAAATAGGGAAACATAAGCATGACTGTCATTTGAATTCAAGTTTACTTGGTAACTGATATAACTATAACAGTGATTCACAATTATAGATATTATATTTTTCTAAAACGGCACTTAAAATGAGTTAAATAAGTAGGTACTGTAAAACACGTTCGCGTCAATCGCATGTATTTTATTGTACAGTAAACTTAGTAGAGTCCGCTGGCACAAGGCCCTCGCCGTTGCTCTGCACAAGTACATTCGTTTCCCACCTGTTAAACTCTCTTTAAGCTGTGATAATAATGTTTGAAAACAATATTATTTTTTATATTTTTTTAAAGAATATTTTTTCTGCCTTTAACCTTTTATTAACAACTTCACGCTATATTAAATGTAGTTGCTTCGCCTACTACTGTGTTTAGAAATAGTCGAACCCCTAATATAGGAGGATACTATATTATTATACAGTAGAGTTGGCAACCCTGATTGTACCTACTATTTTGTCATAAAATTGTGGAGAATGAAATGTTTCACGTTTTTTTAAAATCCGTTTTTGTAAAAAGTTTGGCTGATATACATGCATATTTTTTTAATTATAAGTGATTAAAGATAAGATTTCATGCCATTTATTTGTTACAAGTTAGTTATATTTGAAGTTGAAGTGCAATAATGTGAAATCTTCACTCGTATTTAAGACAAATGCAATTATAGTGTAATAAAATTGATACAACGTAATAATAATATATACCTGCGATAATGAGCGATATTTACCAATAATGCAATCAAATCCATTCTAGAACATAAAAGTAAGAGGTAAGAGATAATGGAATGTAGTGTGCATATTTGCGTATTTGTAGATATCGGATTCGAGCCTACTTGTGAACTGAATACCACTGCACTTTTTATATTACCTCTGCGATGCTCCCTTTCCTAAAATTCTACCCACATACCACTTTCATTATCAAAGTATATAAGGATTTGAATATAGAATTTCAGTATCAATAAATGGCAATCTCAGGAATAAAATCGTGTTATTGCGCCGTTGTTGCCATATAAAATAAGAGTACTCGAACTAATTAGCTTTATTATTATTTGACACGAAATGTCGTCGCTCTAAATATACGTGAGTAGCTAATAGATATAGATAGGCAATGTAAATTAATATTAGGCGCCAGACATGAAGCATATATTGAAGTGTTTTAGTATGGCGTATATAGTTTATTGTAAATATCAATTCTAATATATGCTCTGTATTATTAGCACTTGTATAAAGTTGTCTTAATACCATGTAATGGTTGTGTAGTCTCGAAATGATCTGATTATTAATTTGCTGCAATTAATATCAGCTAGGTATACATATTACTCGTTAGGCTGACCAGTGTAAATGGTATCCATATACTTTGTCAACCAAAGTGTGGCTTACTGTTTTTATTTTTATTTATATCTGCCTAAGAGTTTATAAATTGATTATCATAAATACGTTTTGTCTGTAATAAATAATGATGTATAGCTTTAAAAACCGGTTAATATTTTATTAAAATGTATATTGTGTTTGTAATTAATTTAGCGTTCTTAATGTTATTTTGTTTGTCATTTTATTTGTAACTAGTTTTTATTTTTGGTGGGACCATAACATTGTGCCTTAAGCAGGTATTTTGTATTTCATAAATATGTATGATGCGATCTAATTTATAATAAAATTTAATATTCAAATAGTATTTGTTTAATCTTATTCAGATTAAATAGCTATAATGAAAGTAAATAGTAAATTAAGAGTATTTATATACGTTCCAATAGTGCGCACATCTTCCGTTTATAGAGCATAGGTTTTACACCGCCGAGCATGTTATGGACGAACAATGTATTGGCGAACCGAGGTTTCATCTCCGGTTACAATTCGGTTGCAAATTTCGTCTCATCGTCATTACAGCCCTTCACAAGTCCACTGCTGAACATAGGCCTCTCCCAAGGAATGCCACAAAGCACGGTCATGAGCCACCTGCATCCAACGACTTCCTGCATGTCTTACCAGGTCGTCACTCCATCTAGTGGGGGACGCCCTACACTTCGTCCGCAGGTACGTGGCTGCCACTCTAGAACCTTTCTTCCCCTTCGGTTGTCGGTTCTTCGAGCTATATGGCAGACTCATTGCCACTTCAGCTTACTAATCCCTTGGGCTATGTCGGTCACTCTGGTTCTACTGCGGATATCCTTATTTCTTGGTTAATCACGCAGAGAAACTCCTAGTATAGCTCTCTCCATAGCTCGCTGAGCGACCTTGAGCTTCCTCATCCGACCAGCAGTGAAGGACCACGTCTCAGTTCCATAGGTCATCACTGGAAACACGCACTGGTTGTACAGTCTCGTTTTCAAGTTTTGAGGTATGCCTGACTAGAAGATATGACGTAATTTCCCGAACGCTGTCTAGCCGAGTTGAATCCGTTGATTGACCTCTCGGTCGAAGTTGGACTTACCTAGTCGGACTATTTGTCCCAGGTAAACATACTCGTCAATAACTTCGAGCTTAGTACTCCCAACAACTACCGGCATAGTTGTGACATGGACGTTATATCCGTTGGGAGGCACTATTGAGGTCATTGAGCATAGTGCTTAGGTCCTCCAGCGATTCTGCCATAAGGACTATATCGTCGGCAAATCTAAGGTGAAGGTGATGTACTCGCAGTTGATGTTAATACCGTATGCTTTCCAGTCCAGAAGCTTGAAAATGTCTTCCTATGCAGCGGTGAAGAGTTTCGGGGATATAACGTCACCCTGTCTTACACCTCTTTGCAGTTGGATAGTTTTCGTACTCTGGCTACAACCATGATGTGTACAGCTGCCTATAAAACCTCTCAATCTAACTCAAAATCTCAGGTGGCCCGGAAACTACGCTGCCACACTCGGTCTTCAGCTTCGATAGTTGGGTCTGTCTGGCAGAAAGATCTCTAGCAAAGACTGGATCTCTGGTTCCGCTCGATCGCTTCTTCAATACGAGCAATAGTTGAGTAAGTCCCGTCGCATGCATTTGGAGATCTGCCTGTTCAGTTGCCTGTATGTTGTCAAATCTAATGCATGGCTCTAGATATATCTTCATACATTTCCTCCACCTCCTTATTGGGATGTGCCGAGGTTGGTGCGTAAAACTGTATGACCTTCAGCGAATATAATAGTTTGTTGATTCTGAGTATAAGGTACGCAATCCTCGTCGACACACTCAGTCTCTACAACGTTGTTAAAGAGAGACTTGTGGACGATAAATCCGACACCTCCTTGGGACAGATGATCGCCCTCCCGGTGATAGAAAAAGTTGCCGGATTCGAGGATTATCATGTCCTCCCCCTCTCTTC